GTTTTTTTTTTTTTTTTTTTTTTTTTTTAAATAGCAAAAGTTTGAATGCGGTCGAACGTGTTTGAAAAACCGGACCGTCCTTCGCGCCTGTTGAAGTTAAGCTTAAAAACCAGGTCATTTATAGAAATTAACATATTTTTCTTAAATTTAAAAATAGACAAAATGTTTATTTTATCATCCTTTGTTCTATTTAAATTAAAAAAAAAAAACAAAATTAGAAAATAAAGTATATCGTCAAGAGCGCACTTTTAGGTATTATTAAATATGAAAAGTATTCAGAATATGGACTACAATTTTTGTATGTAATAATTAACTATATTTATCTTATAAGCAGTAAAAATTTTAAATATGAAAAGTTAATCTTATGAAAGTTAATAACCAATAAAAAAAAAAAAAATTAAGATTAGATAATATTTATCTACTCACATTACAAGTAGTACTTGAAGGTGTAATCAAAATGATTGTTTAAATAAATAAAAAATTGGGTAATAGTTACGAATTAATTGGTTAATTTGACTTTTATACCGTCAATTATTTAATTATTTGAATTCAAAAGTTTAATTAATAAAGTGACATCGTCATCAGTTCAAATTTCACTTATTTGTAGTGTATTTTGTATTACAAAAGCAAGCTTAAAGGTTAATTAATTTTTTAATTAAAGTTTACACTAATTTATTTCTTTTTTTATTTTCATAATTGATGTTTGAATATTATTTCGAATTATCGTAGTTTTTGTATTATTAAAAACATAATTTAATTTTTTAAATAAAAGACTAATTTGGGATCTCCTGTTAGTGGATGTCTCATGCAATTGTCCTATAGGATAACGTGCCACTACTACTAGTGTCAAATTGATCTTATATTAATAATTATACAAAATATTGTCTGATACTACCGATTCTATATAAAAATATAAGTAAATGTAGTAACTGAATTTACAAGATTAAGTAGTTAAATGTTTTATATACAGTCGACCCCCTCCTAAATTTGTAAATGTAATTCTTCTATTTGAATACATCCATTTAGTATCTGGAACTGAGATTCAATCGTTTGATAAGAACGTTAGGCTCTTCGGTATTTACCATTCACATGGTAAGATTTAAAATTTTTATTAATTTTTTTTAGTTATATCTAGTATCTGGAACTGAGATTCAATCGTTTGATAAGAACGTTAGGCTCTTCGGTATTTACCATTCACATGGTAAGAGTTAAAATTTTTATTAATTTTATTTTTTATGTTACTAAAAGACCAAACTAAAACATTATTCTCAAAAACAGATGACAGCAATATTACAAATGATTGCAAGATTATATTGGGCTATATTAATGCTACTATTAATAATTATATGTCAAGTAATTTGCCCTAGAGTTAGGCATTAGTTGCCATCTCTTAATAAATTTAATAATTATAATTAAATTAACATTTAATGATTAATTCAGAAGGCTCTGGAAGAAAAGAATTGGTCTGAAGCAGAACTCAAACCCAAAACTCCTTGCTGTGTGGATGCGTTGCCAGTTATACAACCCGAACTTCCCATCCAATCTTCACTTCCAGAATTATTAATTTAGATATAACCATACTGGTTACTCATGGCACTGACTAAGGATGCTTTCAGCACCCAGGGCCTGTAATACCCTACATGATGCTCAGCTGGCTATCATTTTACCCCAGCACACACGCCATCATCATGATGGCGTGTGTGTGTGCACACATATATGAGTATAAACATTGATTAACCTGATTTTACGACGATGGATGATTGCTGAATTATATTATGCTATATTCATGCTACTATTAATAATTAAATGTCAATCCTGTAGGTCAAATTACTTGACATTTAATTACTAAGAGTAGCATTAATATAGCCCTATACAATCTAGCAATGATTTGGCATTAATCTTAAAAATCAGATTAAATTGATGTCTCCATTTGAAATTGTCAATATTTTAAAAAAAAATAATTTAAAATAAAATAATCATTAAATATAAAAATGATAATATAAATAATGTCTTTAAAAGTACTTTTAAAGTATTGTAAATAGAAATTGTAAACATTCTTGTAGATTTACATATCTTATAAAAGCAAATCAATAAAAATTTTAAATATATTAAAAACATTCCACAAGAAAAGGGAATAAACTAAAAAAGAAAAAATTACTATCAAATTTTAATATTTATTCAAATCTATGTAAATAATTTATTCAAATAATACCAGTTAAAAAACCCAGATACTTTTTATCATATTACTTAAATAAAATGAAATACAAAATAAAAAAACAATGAATTATGACAAAATTATATAAAACTTCTTACTTGTAACTTCTTCATTTGCAACTTTATCTATTAATTCAACAATTCTACTTTGCATACAATGGCATGTCTTCTGCAAGTCCTGTAAATTTAAAGTTAATTAATTAAAAGTCAGATTAATATTTTAAATTAATTAGATATAATATTTACATTTTAATATAATCACTTAATAACTGTTCTAAGAAATATACAGTCAAACCTTGGATTTATGAACAAAATTATGAAAGTCATATTTGCTCTGGTTTAGGTACAATAACTCTGTTNCAGCCACCAATGGCCAACTTCCTATATTTCCTACATTAAAGAAAGTTAATGGTTTGACCAATCAGTGACAGGACTACTGATTTAGTAGTGGTGCCAAGATTCATGTTGAATTGTTAGACATCACAACAGGAATCATTGATGACGTTATTCAAATTATATTTCAATGCACATGCAAGTAAATACTACTTCCAGTTTTCAGTACATATCACAATTTAATTTAAATCAAATTAATTAATAAAAGCCACATTAATTGATATTTGCAGAATATAAATGACATTTAATAATTTGTATTTAAAGGTGCTTAACTCAAATTAAATAACAAAAATTTATTAATACCTTATAAATAATAATAATAGTTTAATATAATATTTATTAATACTAGGCAGCCAGTTAATTAAAATTAAAACACTGGCCTTTAAACTGAAAGTGAAACTAAAAATAAAATCAAAATTAATTAATATAAATTAAAGCAATTTAAACACAATATTTCAAAAAGTGTGGATAAAATACTTGTTGTCTGTCTTCATTGATTTAGTTATTTCATCCAGACAGAGTCAAGTCTATTTATAACACTTCTTTGTAAAGTGTTAGTTTTGGTTGGCAGTGACAAAACATTTTTCTTTTAATATATGTATATAATATAGATATAGATAATATTATATTACATTTGTAAGCATTTTTATGCATGAAATGCTGCTAAAAAGGTGAAAAAGGCTTTGTTTTGGAGGGCAAGAATGAATTAATCTGTTTTACATTGTTTCTTATGGAAAAATTTGTTTCAGTTTGAGAACAAATCAGTTTCCAAATAATTTTTTGGATTGAATTTAGTTAGTTAACCAAGGTTTGACTGTATCTGAAAACAATAATAAACATTTATTACAACAATTCTTACTCAAAAATATTTACTTGGTATGATCAAAATTTAAATTTAGAAAGCCAATAGCACAGAAATTAAACTTTTATTGAAGAAATTAAATCATATGCAATTTATCTGCAAACAATATGCTACTTCTTACCAATATCATCCAGCCCATTCAGATATTCATTGCAATATTAAAGAACTGGTTCATCCCATTCTCAAAAAATTTCTGTCCCTGTTGGTGCAGCCATCCAGCAACAACAACATTCACTTTATCAATAATAAAACAGTGATCACATGTATTCCTTCAAACATTGATAAACACGAGTTAGAAAGGGCTACATCTGGGCTGTATTAGGAATGATAAATGATCTTCCATTGAAACATATGTAGGAAATACACAGTTTGGTACATGACATGGTTTTCTGAAAGAACACGACATTATCTTTATATCTTAATTAGTACTACCTAATGATGAATTTCAACAGATTGATATTTGTGATCTAAAAAAATTCCAATAACTATTTGGTCTCCTTTGTAAAATCTACTTTCTTAACTTTTTCATTATTTGGAAATGCTATATTACAATGGTCTCACATTCATTCCAATCATTTAGTGTGCTAATCTGAGTCATTATTACCTACCTACATTGAAGTTATACTTGATAATGCTTTGTTTTTTAAACTGTGGATCTTGTTGATAATTCAACATATCATAAACATTATATATATGTACATAACACACACTAACACACACCAACAAAAAAGATATGCACCCAGATAGAATTTTCATATTACTGTAAAAATTGACACACAGTTGTCTCAGATATGCATGTAAATAATTACAGTTATGGTCCAACTGCATGCCAGATAATGCCATCAGAATTCCTTAAACTTGCTATTCTAGTATCCTATAAAATGGCTTATACTTGCATAAGTTCACTACATTCAGGATTTTAGCATACCCATTATTTGGAGGGCTTCAAATTTCAGGCATGCCTGTATAGCAATCAAAAAGTTAGCCTTAACAACTTACAATTAGCACTCCATCATTACCTACTTTGCAGTAGTGTCTGACAGAAAAGCATGGTCAATGGACTGACAATGTTTTGTCTTTAGTGACAAATCCTGGTTCTGTTTGGAAATGGATGTATGGATAATAAGTGCTATAATCCAGCCTTACTGTTGAGTGACATACTAATCCCTCTGTTGGCATTCTATCTGGAGAACAGTCTCATATGACAGCCGATCACCTCCAAAGTGGTCCAAAGAACATTAATGGCACACCCATAAGTTTAAGAAATCTTGGGCCTTCATGTTGCTTTTCATGTTAGGGCTGCAAAAAATCATTTTCTAGCAAGATAATGCTTGGCTGTAGACAATTAGGATTTCACATGAATGTCTTTGTCATGTTGCCACACTTCCTTGGTCTGTTTGATTTCTAATTTTGTCTACTATCAAACATTTATGGGCCCAGATGGGATGTCAATTTTAGCCATCTATAAGTATGAGGGACCTGGAGCAGAAGTTGCAACATACGTGGGCAAATCTGACACAAGATAACATGCAATATCATATGCATCTATGTTCAAGTGTATCACTGCATGTATCCAGGCAAGAAAAGTTCAAACAAGATACTAAAGATTCCTTTAAATTGTACCATTATTCCACAGGAAATTCTCTTTGCTAGATATTGCAATCACTTATTACCATTGTCATTACATTCATGCTAATAAAGTTCCATTCAATTCTAATGCTTCCTTCTTGGTGTAAACTTTTTGTCAATGAGTATATGTATTAAAACTTATGTGCATATATAAAAGAAAGCTATGTTTTTAATTACCTGTAATAATTCCATATCACTTGGATGCTCTTGTCCTGGAGTTAGTTCAGTTAACATCTCACCAAACACTCTCATGTTACCTTGAACAACATCAAGTTCACTTCTTAATTTTGCTAACTGATCGGGTAATAAATTTAAAGGACTGGTAACATTTTCAGAACTTGGTTGAATCTGTGGCTGTACCTGCTACAATAAAAAAAAAAATGATAAATTGAATTATATACAACTTATTCATGAAATAGAAAACACTTTATTTATTAAAATAAAGTCAATGTGTGTTAATACAAATTGCTAAGAAATGCTTCACTTTATCAAAAATTTGTATCATGATTTTCAGGGTCAAGGTCAATGTCAAGGCTGTATAATCTACAGAGTTAAGGATTAATAGTCAATTGAAATCTCTAAATTATAATACTTTGAATTAATTTACTGAACAAAGTTAAATAAAATAAAATTTATTTACAAAAATAAATGAATGATCTAAATGATTTTCAAATCAAACAAAATAAGAAGACAATATTTGCTGTTTAAGTGTGGTGCAATATATCAGAATGGAATCACTGAATGCCCTGATATGCCAATTTGTATGCATTTGCATGAGATTGCATCCATTTAAAGGGGTAGGCATTCTTAAACTTTAACCCCTATTTTCTGAGTACAGTTGAATGGTCTGCTAAAATCAGATGTTTGAATTGTTCTACAATCAGAGGTCAAACTCATCTTTGTTTACTAGGAGAAGAAAATCTATTCTACTCAAAACAGACTGTTTATTACAGTACCACTTTGCTTTTTACACTTTCAATGTGAAAAATAAAATTATTATTAAAAATAGTGTTACTTCTTGGGGGTTATGAAAGTAATTTACAGTTCAGTTTGATGAATTATGGTAAAATTTTTGTTTGCTTTATTGCATGAAAATTAACATTGTAACAATGATGTTTTGCCAGGGCAATGCAAAATTCACTTTATCAATGTTTGCTTTAAGGCAAGTGAACTGAACTGAAGATTCCACTTATTGTAATCAAAATTCAGTTGTTATTAACTTCATTATCTTCAAGTACTTTTTAGAACTTTAGGACTTTTTAAGCTCTCTTTTCAAGAAACAAACTTTGATATATGGCTGATAATATGTAATCATTATCAGTTAGTGTTATCATTTCGAGACCAATGCTTTAAATTAAACATTAATAATTTTAATCATTGCTTTGATAATTTAAATTTCTGGCATTACACTAGCTGTAGTTAAAGATGGGAGCAGACAGGGTGAATTATATACCAATTAATTAATAATGATAGGAAACAGAATAGTTTACATCATAGACATATCCATTCTAAATATCCACAATATATAAAACACATACACTAAAAAATATTCAGAACTTGTCTGTGAGATAGTGTCTGTTGAGAATCATTAAGGTGCTTATTGTGTGCCCTGTAGCCCTCTCTGGCACAAGGATCATACCACATAATACATGAAAGTCTAGAGATACTAAGCATTAACAACAATTCATACATTACAGAAATCAGCAAATGTTATATATAACATGCCATCATATTATTTGTATAACTACAGCATATAAACAATTAATAGTTTAAGATCATTCAAATAAACTCAAAGAATTTAAAAAAAATACAAAAAGAGAGAGAGAAAGAGAACATTTCTGAAAATTAATTTCTACTGGAACAATGGAATATTTGATGGAAAGCAAAGAAAATAAAGAGAACAAACATTACTGGTTGAAACAGCATATTTTTTTTATTGAAAAAATTAAATAAATGAAAACATTTGGGGGGAAGTATCTAAAATTATGAAATGTAATAATAGAAATTCTAATGAATAAATAATATTTATATCTTTTTAGTATTCCAGTTTTAAAACAAGAAGTAAACTTAAATAAATTTCAGATAAAATTATTTTGAATAAATTATAAATAAATCAGAAAGAAATCAACAAAACATTACTGAATAAATTGAAATAAATATTTTTGTGTTAGAAAAATCTTAAATATAGTAACACACACACACACAATTAATTAATTAATACTTTTATAACAATCACTTAATAATCTATAAAAAAAACATTTTTGTTAAAATATCTCATCTTATTTTTATTTTCAAACATTTTCACTGTTAGATTACAGATGTAAACAATACTCAAATTAATACATATATTTACCATTTTAAATAATAGCATACTTACAGGTGGTACTCTCTCTACTGGTTGCATTTTAGGTGGTTTTGAAGGTGGGACACTCTGTAAAGATTAAAATACATAGTAAAAATAAACTAAACACATTCCTGTAAAACATTTGTTCATTAAGATTTTAAATATATAATTTACTTCTTTTATGAATTTTCTTTTCTTTTCTTTCATAATTTTTTATTTAACATATATTTTTGATGATAATACAGTAGCCCCTCATTATATCATGGATTTGGATATATCATGCTTTTTTTGGTCCCCAAATATCGACAGTAATTGTCTTTAAATGTCATTGTTAAAGAAACAATAATGCTAAATAGACATTCATGGTATCTATGTTTATGTAAATGTCAATTAATACAATATAACCATGAATAAAATTCAGTAGTGCAAAACTAAGCTTATTTTATATCAGAAACTCTTGCTGATGAAAGAATAGAGGATAGAGATTCCATAGCATGTATAATCTGTTTAGTATAAGCCCAGAATTTTTTGTACTCAGTTATATCATGTCGCCAGATATATCACACTTTTTCTTTGTCTCTCAACAAGCATGATAAAACAAGGGGCTAATGTATTTACATTTATCTAATAATAATTTAAAACAGTGCTTGATAAAAATGTAACACTCTTGATTTTTCATTGTTTTTATTTTATATTTAGGGAATATAATTATTATTAATTTCTAAATTAAACAAAAAACAAGTAGATAATTTTGTTCATGGAACTGATAAATGGGCTATTTCACACAATTTGATACAGCTTTTATTATGTTTGTATTTAATTGATTATTTTATTTGAAAATTATAACATGTTCTAGAATCTAATTAAATTTAACAAATCTTTAATATGTATAAATTATTATTAATGTAGTATATTTATTTAGTTTTAAAACTGTCTAGTCAACTACTTCGTTTTTTACATGAAATAATCTAAATTATTTAATTTTAATTTAAAGACAATAATTAAGCATTCAAAAACATTATATTGATTTCCTCTTTAAAATTTATGGTAAATTATAAATTTAATTTGAAGACTGTCAAACTACTGATGAACTGTTATTAATTGCTGCATTTTTATTTTTACAGAAACATGTCATTGTTTTTCAACTAATCAAAAAAAGGATGCTTATCACATAAAATCTGTTAAAATTTAAGTTTTCCTGAAGAAATTTTTGGTGTTTTTTTATTTTTTATGATTTTTTGGCACTGATAAAAAAGAATTTGTGGCTGTTTTAGAAAAATTTTTGAAAATTTATTTCATTGTTTGGACTTTAGAAATCCATTAATATATTAGTTATTTTATATTAATTTATTTACTATATTTGTAATATATTTAATATAGCTGATAATTCTGTTTTTTTCTCTATATAACTAATATATAATTTACTGATGTAATTAAAGAGACTATTCATAATCTAAGAATTATTCATTTCTTTTTCAGTATTTATTGATGCATTTATTATTAATAATACAGTGGTATCTCAGGATACGAACGCCCCAGCATACGAAATTTTCAGGATACGACATGAAATTCGAACATATTTTTGCTTCACGATACGAACAAAAACTCACCATACGACGTTACATTAGTTCGCATTTTTCATTTGTTTTCCTTACTACAGTTATTTTTTTAAATGTATTACTTGGCTTTAATTTGAGTATGTTTTTCGAGTTGGAACGAATTATTTGGTTTTACATGTAATCGTAATTATATGGTTTTACATGTAAGTTGATTCACCTTACGACATTTTCATGATACGATCTCAGTTTCGGAACGGATTAATTTCGTATCCTGAGGTACCACTGTATTGTTGTGGTAATTAAAAATTTCTTGATATATCTCTTGATATATTCTTTTTTCCTTTTACAATTGTATTATTGAGGTTTGCAATTGATGTCATGTTTCCCTGTAATGTAAGTTATATTCAATATGCTGAGAAAATAAATATAAATTTAATTTAATGATGAGTTAATTTAAAACTGCTTTTAACTATTTTTAAATTATTAAATTGGATAAATTAGTAATCATCAGAAATAATTTAAAATTATCATTATTTATTTGAACAATTTAATGCTTAATTAATTCTACAATATCAAAGTATTCTGAATTATATATTTTATCATGATACTCTAAATATTTCATTTATTGTAATTAAATTATAAAACAGAATTCAAAAATAAAATTTTCATAAATCTATATCACTGTTTAAATAAATATTCTAGATCTTTGTTTTCACATTAGAGATTAACAGCTACTTCAATTCTAAAAATTATAAACATTTATTTCAAAGTAAAGAATTTTACTTCTAAACATTTTCATGTCCCATCAATGTGTTAATTTTTTAAAAAAGCTTTCAGTATTTAATTTTCAATTACAGTGATACCTCGATTTTAATTGATAATCTGTCCAAAAACAATTGCCGAAATCTGAAAACCAATGAAAACGAGGAAATTATTTCCATATGAATCAATGTAAATCCAATTACAGTAGGGCGGTGTTTATCCAAAAACTGATCAACCAAAACGTTGGTTAACCGAAAGTGTTCCAGTCGGACTGTGTCATGCTGAATCGAATGTTTTTGATACTAGATTAACTTCCAAAATATAATTTTTTTTTGTTTTTATATTTTTCAATTTATTTATTTTTTTTGTACAAAATAAAGAAATAATTTTTAATGATACAATAGCCATGATTATAATTTTAAAAATTTACGTTAGGCTTAACATTGACGAAAATTCAATGCAAAGCGACACGCAACAGAGAAAAATTTCAACATGGGATAGGTTAATATTTTTTTGTACATAATCGGTTAACCAAAAAATAAGTTGTTTAATAAATAAAAAACAACCCCAGTCCCCAATTGATTTGGATAAACGATGCTCTACTGTAATTCGTTCTAGACACTCCAAAATACATACCAAAAACATATTTTATATAGAATAAATATAGTGTTTAATTAATCTAAAAACAATAAGAAATTAATATAAAATGAATATATAAAAGACTAATGTAAAGAATAAATGAACATTTAACATGGCATTTTTCATGATGAAGATAAAAGGAAAGGAAAGCAATGGAACTGGGCATATTCAAAATCTCAGCATCAATCCAGTGAGCTGTTGCCAGAAGTGATGCAATTGCTGGCATTTTCTAGAGAACACAAACACTGACTGCCAAGAATTTCAGGAGAGAAAAACAGAAAAATGGCAAACAATGTGGACTTCCATGTTACGTTAAATTTATTTTTGAATTTATTTAATGAGAACAGCTTAATGAAAAATGAATATTTCAAAAAGAGAAATAGGAATGAAGGTTTTTTAAATTTTCGTAGGAGTTTTAAATAATTAAATCAATCCTAAGATTACACTTTAATAACTAAAACAAATTATGTGATGTCTTACATAAATATACTAGTATATTAAAATATTCTATTAATGTTCTAACTGAATATTAATTTATTCAGGGTTTATTCATCAACAAATAAATTAAATTCAAAATTGTCAACACAAAATAGAGCTCTTACAAGCCTCGTGACGGCCGCCATCTTATTTGCTGGTGTATCGAGCACCAAAAAAAATGCTTGCAGAAACTGGAAGTCATCTGAGTTTTTAAACAGATGTACTGAGAAGTGCTGGATGCATGCTGAGATTTTGAATATGCCCATTGTTTGGCTAGACGCTTGGTATAATAATGCTCACACAACAAGAAGCAATGCCACACTGAGCAGGAAATTACGTGGATTTGCAAAATTAGCAGCAAGGTCACATGAGCACGCTGACAAAATCCAAGGCAACCGACAAAAACCAAAACAAATTTTTTGTGAAAAAAATTGACAAAAATTGAAACTGACGATAACCAAAGTCAATGAAAACTGAAGCATTACTGTACATGTTTTTTTCTACTACAGAATGTATATTACATTGAATTAACATTAAATGAATTAACTCCTATCAGGATAAAGAACAAAGCCACACTACTTCCATGTATACTCCTCTGTCACAAAATCAACTGATTCATACCATGTTTGACTTCTAATAGTCTATCCTTTAGGATTAGTTTTAATTTAATAATGTGAAGTATCTGTCAAACTAGATAGCATGTCACACTTTCCATTGCCACTTTTCAAAATACAGTAGAGCATCGATTATCCGACCCCCGATATCTAGACCGACCATTCTAGTCGGCAAAATTCAAATGTCCAGTAGTGATGTGGCACTACAATATTTGGCTTTGTCTTGGATACTTTAATATTATTTTTGTTAAATTTTTGCATGTTTTAGCTGGCAACACGTCTTGACCATTGAAGGGAGGCCAGTATTTAAACGAGACTTAATTTTCTAATTATGAGTCGTCGTTCGTTTTGTAAGCAATAAAATAACTTAAAAATAATTTTTAACGATACAAATAGCGACGATTATTATTTTAAAAAAATTTGTTAGGCTTAACATCGATGAAAATTCAACATGAAGTTAATTAATAGTGATATACTAATATACTAATTACATGGGATATACTAATATACTATACTAATAATGTATTTTTTTCCTTCTTTTCAGTTATCCGATTTTTTCAATTATCCGACCAACCTGAGTCCCCAATTCAGTCTGATAATCGATGCTCTACTGTATATGTCATGTTGCTTGCACTATGTAAAAAGTCAGAGATCATACTTTCAATATTTTGGTCAGTTCAAGAAACATGAGTTCTTCTAGAGGCATAAACAAACTTTTAATTAAGTTAAATATATAATTTTACAAACATTCAAACAGAACTCTCAAAATCAAATATATCTATTTAAATATGGTGTTTCTAGTCAATGCCTTTCAACTAAATAAAACAAGATTATTATAATCTACTCTACATATATAAAATACTTAGCTTAAAATTATGATAGTTTTTTCTGTCACCCAAAAATGTGGACAATGAACAAAATATGTCTACGACTAACACTAGATGCAAAATGTGATGATAATTTGCATCATCATTTGCTATCATATTTTATTGTGGATGCATACCCTTTCTTGATAGCTACATACCAACTTTGTTCTTTATCCTGCACAGAGTAGAATATATAAATTTTTTTAAGTTCTGTAAACAGTTTTTAGACCTTTTTTAAGTAAATGTTTAATTTAAAAAAATTAACATGAATGGATTAAATACTTAAAATTAATTATAATAATTCTAATGAAAATTAATTTAAATAGAATTATGCAATTATAATGAATTTTAATTTTCATTATTTTTATTTAAATTGGATTAATACATTATAAAATATAAAAACTTACTCTCTGAGGTGTATGTATAGGTGCCATTGCATCTAAATCAGTCATTGGAAATTCAATGCCTTTTTGCTTTAAATCATTATACACTAACACAACTCCTTGCATTTCAGCAACTGCTCGAAATGCATCAGCCCAACTCTAAAAATATAAAAAAAATTAGGTGAATAAATTATAAAAAATGTAATTATAATTGCAAAAAATAATATAGTGGTATATTATAATTTTTAATATTATAACAATAATAAGTATTTATTGATTAAGTATTAAAATTAAAATTTAATATATAACTATAAGTACTTGTAGCTAAAAAAACTTTCAAATTTAGTTTATTTAAAGACTTGTAATAAATTTGGAAAATAGATTACAGTAGAGCGTCATTTATTCGAAAGCTAGTCAACCAAAACGTCAGTTAACCGAAACCGTTCCAGTTGGCAAATTTAAATTTCCGCTACTGCTGCGGTACTGCAACCTTTGGCTATATCTTTGCTACTCCAATATTTTTTTGTTGGTGTGTGTGTGTTTTAGCTGGCAGCACTGCCACTTTTGTGTGATGTTTTTCTCAGGACTGTGTGTCATGCTGAATCGAATGTTTTTGATACTAGATTAACTTCTAAAGTATAATTTTTTTTGTTTTTATATTTTTCAATATATTTATTTTGTTTGTACAAAATAAAGAAATAGTTTTTAACAATACAATAGCCACAATTATTATTATAAAAATTTACGTTAGGCTTAACATTGACGAAAATTCAACACGAAGCAACACACATCGGAGAAAAATTTCAACATGGGATAGGTTAATATATTTTTTCATACATAATTGGTTATCCAAACGACCCCAGTCCCCAATTGATTCAGATAAACGACGCTCTACTGTATTCTTGTATTAAAAAATACTTGGTAAAATTCTCAAACTTTAATAACCAAAATCTAATGATTGTTGATTATTATTTGCTTATTAATGTTTTTAGCTTAAGTTCATTTCTGATGCTTTATAAAGTTGTTTATATTTGTGTAACATTCTTTAAAAATTCACCAAAAAAATATATGAATATATCTATGTCTCCCTTTAATTTTCTTTCTTTTAAGCCAATCCATGTTTTAATTAACATTATTAGATATTATTCTTAAACTTACATCTTGAAAGCTGATAAATTTCCAGTAATTTCCATCTCAGAAATATTTAGATGACTATCAATTTTAGCATATGTTAATTCTCTACAGTAAATAAGAGTTAAGCAATCAACTCTAAGATTCTTGTTGTTAAATAATGACATGCACTTTTTTAGTAAAACCAACAATGACAACATTAATGGCAAATACTTTATTTATTACTTATTTCCTATACATCTGATAGGGTAGTCACTCCTGCCAAGAACTAGCTGCCCCCTCAAACTCATCTTGACCCAAGATAATTCATCAAACATTAGCTAAACAATGGATATTATCCATGTTAAAATCTTTTTCTACTTAAATTTTTCAAGTTTATTTTAGCATTTATTATTATTATTATTTTGATGAATTATATTATACACAAGTACTTAGTTAATACCGGCACCCAATACTATACCAGATCAAGATCAAGACATAGCTATAAAAAACTGTTGCTGATTTTATGGGATTCATGCATGATACATATAGCTGACCAAGGTAATTAAGGTATCAGACTAATGCTATAGTGAACTAGGATTGATTCAAAGAAGTGCTGAGCACAACTAGGGCAGTCTATGCTCCTAGTTGTTATCAATTATTTTCAAATTAAAAGTTATAAAATGCACATTATAAAAGTAATGAATGTCAGTTTTGATGAGCCAATCCACTGCAGCCCATCTCTGAATCAGTGCCAGTCATTTTAAAGTTTCAAATAGTAAGCTATGTTTGCATTAGCTAGAGTTTGTTCATATTGGTTGTACAATAGTGGCTTAGAGTTTGAATTAAAATAAAATTTTTAAAAAATTTTTTAATTTTTAACTGTAGTTTTATTTTCTTAACTATGTACTTTATTTTTTTTAAGCATACTCGTGGATTCTTTTTAGTTTTTGTTGTTTCGGCAGGTGGATATCATTTGTCTTTCACGTCTTTTCCTAAATAAGTAATAAATATAATACACAGATAGATAGCACTCATATTTTGTTTATTAATTTATTTTTCTCAAGTAAAATAAAACATATACAAAATTAAAAAACGGCCACCAAGAAAACAGCCTACTGTAAAATTTCTTATTTCTCAATGGACCAATCTATCACTGGATGTGATAGATGTTCAAGAAAAAACTATCTGCCCAATACTACTTTATCCATTCTCCATAGGCACTTTATTTCAAGTTCTGAGTATTTACTAACTTTCTCAGTATATGTATTTTATATATTATAGGTGTTTGTAATGGCCATGTCCATTATGCGTGTAATTTTGTTTGTCAATAAATGTGACGTCTGGTCTGTTGTGGTGAATTTTGCCAGTGATTATGGTTTGGTCATAGATTTTGTTTTTTTTTGTGCGTGTGTGTATTGTTGTTTTCTAAATACATTAGTGTATATTAGTAGTATATTCTATATAGTACATCTAATGTATATTAGTAGTTTATTAGTAGTATGTTAGTATTGTATCTAATATAACTATGATGTACTGTATATTAGTATTATGGTTCTTAGAAGTATAATAGTTTGTGTTTGTACATAAGATTTTTATGAATTATTTGTTATTTAGTTATGTCAATGTAAATAGTCCATATGCTAAAGGCTTGCAATTTGATTTGATATGTTGTATAGTTTCATGCATGATGGGACATTTCCTGCCAAGTGTTGTCTTTTAAACTGCGTGTAAGGAACCAAGTCCAAGCATTATTTTTATTTACTTTTATATTTGCTTTTTATTCTATTTTTGTTTTGGGTTTATGTTTTGTTAGGACGAAGGTTTCCTCACCAATCACCTTAGAAACTTAAAAATAGAAGAGAAACCAACTCACCAATGAGAAAAAGTGCTGTAGATAAAACTTGCGCACACTTGCGCTCCCGAGTGGAAAAAAGTAAGTCTGCACCGAAAAAAGGGGGGGAGACCCCACAAGCATAACTTAGGACCTTGCTAAACCTTAAAGAATAAAAACATTCCGAAAATTGTCAAAAAGAATAATGTAAAAGGTTAGTGAGTATTGTCAGAAAGTAAGCTGCCAGACAAACAGAAAGTTTATTGTTAGCCAATAAGTATGTAAATGAGGGGAGTAATCTCATTCAGAATTGTGACATCACCTCACAGTATAAAGACCGAACCTCAAGTGAAGACAATCGAGGTGAGCTTCTGTTAGCAACGAGCGTGGTGAGCTTCGTATCAGCAAACGAGAGAGAGGTGTCCAATAGGATAAAGTAGTTCCAAGGTGATTTTGAAGTTATTTGATTTGCGGATCAAAGATTAGAGAAAGTCTTGAGAGTTGAGGAAAAAGGTTCCTAGTATATCGAGGTGACAATTAGGATCTTTAATTCATAAGAATTATTGTATATATATAAATTATGAATTTTTGTCAAATTCCAAAGGGGAATAGATTTAAGTTAGAAAATAGATTGATTTGAGTTGTCGGATTGATTCTTATTGATTTTCATTGAATAAATTGTTATTTGATTTTTACTAAATTTTGTATATAGTTATTACTAAAATATTTATTAAATATTGGATTGTTTTTGATTAACTTTGTCATTATTTAATTTGAATCATGCTTAAAGTCCAGGCCTGGCACATTAACGCGAATCCACATAAAGTACCCGTTAGATAACAGCTATTTCCAACACACAGTCGTGTCGATAATCATTGTAGAGGGCAGAAAAATAGTATAGTACTTTACATGTGTTTTCTATATTTTCTGTATTTATGACTTATTGCCATTATCATCATCATTACATATCTATAGTTGGTCCAATAAAAGACAAACTTTTCGAAATTACTTCTTATAAGCATTAATTTCATTGAAGATTAAGGCCCATAATTAATCGCAATAATTATAATACCAATGAATTTTGACAACTAAAATAATTATATAAATTTAAATATAAAATAGTATTCCAGGCTTGACCATATAATGTTTCATTTTGTTTAACATAAAAGCATTATTTTGCTTTTTGCTACCAAAATCAAAACTAGATGCAACATCATTATCAGTTGGTTTGTATCATTTTTAAATCCTAAAGTAACTCTGTTTTATATTTATTAAAGCAATAATATGTGTATAAAAGTTAATATAAAACAAATCAGAATTAAGAAAAAAATTTATCTGAAAAAAGTTTCATTAAAATTAATTTTTTCTTGGTGAACTCAGGTTATATTTTTCTTCCAATTAGAAGTTCAGACTATTTACAAAAAATTAATTTTTGAGTCTGTCTATTAATCCATTAACACAACCACAGAAGTACCCATAACATTGGTTTGAAGAAAAACTTCAATAAAAATAAATAATAAATACGTATAAAACTCACAAATTAAAAATGATCAAAACGTCAGCCTTTTATTTGAGGTTCTGACGTCTTTTACATTAAAAACAACAATTAAGTCTTCTCACCATACCATCAAGTAGTTATCCAATTTTTATCAGGTTCAAGCCCTTTGGTGGTTGAAATGAGTTATCCTTTTATTTGCATATTAATTAATTTTTTTGTAAATAGTCTGAACTTCTAATTGGGAAAAAAAATTAATTTTCATTATTAAATTATAAGCATGTCTGAAGGCTATAATAACTATCTTAATTATATTTCAGATAAGATGAAATAATGATTAATTAAGAAATGCCAAATTATCAGAAACAATTAATTATGATTAAAAAAAAATTCATACAATTACTAATCTTAAAACAATTCAATTTTATATAATTTACAACATATATTAAATGGAGTAAACATTATTATTACTAACCTGTATCAAACTCAAAACTTTTTCTTGAACTGCAGTAGGAGGATCATTTTTAGGTCCAATCAATTTGACTAGATCTTGAACAAAATCTTTTTGAGTTACTAATAAATGAAAACGTTTGCCACAATTTTTGACACAAGTTTCAAGAACCTATAAAATGATATAAATTAAATATTTAATTATTACTTAATATAACTAAATAAATATCATAAAAGTTATTTTATAGTTTTTAAATGTTCCTTTAATAATAAAAAAATTCTAATAATTATTTGTATTTGAAATAGTTATGCACAATTTATATCATTGTTGTGTAATTAGAAAGTCTGGAAACATTTAATCATCATCATCTTGCAAAAACCTTTGAAGATAAAGTTTAATTGATAATTTCACTATAAATAAAATGTTTTTAAACTGTAAAGACATTATTAAAAATGACACAAATTTCTATACTTAAAATACCATGGTCTCCATTTTTATGTTTTAATGTTCTATAATGTTATATCATTTATTTTATATTATCTTCATATAATTAATTTTTAAAATTTTATAGCTTATAATAAGTTATTGGTTTGAATTATAAAGTTACAATTATTATAAAAGCTTAAAAAAAGACCGTATCTCATACATCTCAGAATTAATTAACAAAAAAGAAGAAAAAAAATGTGTCTTTAGATATTAAATCTTTTAATTATAATTTTTATAACTAAACGACTTAATTAAAACTAGTTGGTATTTTCAATAAATTAATTTTATTATTTTCAGATAACCAAAATGAATAAATTGAAAAAAATTTTAATATTTATTTCTGTCATTTATATTTTATTTGAGAAACATTTACAACAACAATAAATATGGCTATTGAATATTTCATTTACATTAAAGAAATCATGCAAGAAGAAATTAAAAACAATGAGAGGTTATTTCTCATTACTTTTATAGTCTAAATGCATTTCAATTTCTATTTACTGTAAAAGCTTCTTTTAGCATAAAGAAAGATATATATTAATAATAATGTATGAATTATTATATTTTACTATAATAATATTCTATATGTATATACTTCATTATTGAATGAATTGCACTTATTGCAAAATTACTATTCTATCATAATTATTTGGAACAAATAGACAAAATTATATAACTTTTATGTATTTTTGTTTAACTTCTTCCTAATAAACAAATATGTTTAGAAAATAAATAGCTGTATTTTTTAATTAACTTATTTTGTATTAAAGATTAAGCTTTTTTCTTATATATTATACATATTTTTAAAATGAAAAGAAAAACCATTCATAGGAAGTGTTTCTTAAAATTGACACTTAAGTATGAAAGGCCATTTTAAGTTAATTTTCAAATATTAAGTGCATCAACAATAATAATGCTATTTTATGATAGAAAATGAAAAAATATATTAAATTATCGGCATCATGCAATTTATTACTTACATCAATATTTTTTTGCAAAGTAAATAACATACATAGCAGGTGTTTTAAATTGACACAATCATTTCATATTTACTGTGGAATGGCTTTTCTATAATAAATGCGGTTTATTTGCTAATAAAGTTAGTCATCGTAAACATATTTTAGAAATTCAAAACATAATTTTAACCAGATTTTACAGTAAAACTATTAATGTTTTATAAACAGCAAAGAACAATTTCTGTTAAGCTTTAACTTAAAGTCTAAATTTTTCTATTTACGTCGGATTGATTCTTATTGATTTTCATTGAATAAATTGTTATTTGATTTTTACTAAATTTTGTATATAGTTATTACTAAAATATTTATTAAATATTGGATTGTTTTTGATTAACTTTGTCATTATTTAATTTGGTGCATGCTTAAAGTCCAGGCCTGGCACATTAACGCGAATCCACATAAAGTACCCGTTAGATAACAGCTATTTCCAACACACAGTCGTGTCGATAATCNTATATTAATAATAATGTATGAATTATTATATTTTACTATAATAATATTCTATATGTATATACTTCATTATTGAATGAATTGCACTTATTGCAAAATTACTATTCTATCATAATTATTTGGAACAAATAGACAAAATTATATAACTTTTATGTATTTTTGTTTAACTTCTTCCTAATAAACAAATATGTTTAGAAAATAAATAGCTGTATTTTTTAATTAACTTATTTTGTATTAAAGATTAAGCTTTTTTCTTATATATTATACATATTTTTAAAATGAAAAGAAAAACCATTCATAGGAAGTGTTTCTTAAAATTGACACTTAAGTATGAAAGGCCATTTTAAGTTAATTTTCAAATATTAAGTGCATCAACAATAATAATGCTATTTTATGATAGAAAATGAAAAAATATATTAAATTATCGGCATCATGCAATTTATTACTTACATCAATATTTTTTTGCAAAGTAAATAACATACATAGCAGGTGTTTTAAATTGACACAATCATTTCATATTTACTGTGGAATGGCTTTTCTATAATAAATGCGGTTTATTTGCTAATAAAGTTAGTCATCGTAAACATATTTTAGAAATTCAAAACATAATTTTAACCAGATTTTACAGTAAAACTATTAATGTTTTATAAACAGCAAAGAACAATTTCTGTTAAGCTTTAACTTAAAGTCTAAATTTTTCTATTTACAATTTCTGTTTGGCCATAAAGTAAAATTTTTCAAATTTATTTATTGAAATTCATTTTTTTTTTTGAAGTCATGATAAATAATTTCATCTCAATGATTATTATCATCATTATTTCAAAATGTTGTAGTTAACATTCAAATTAAAATATAGTTTTTCAATTTGTATCTTAAAAAATTCAATTAACATGTGGTAAAAATATATATCAAATAATATTTAAATTGAGATTTTTAGCAAAATATATTTATATATCAAAGATATACACATACACAATAATTTATTTATCAAAAAATATATATATATAAAAATTTTTCATTTTAATTTCATTAAAGTAATTTAGAAGGTTTGTATCCTGTATTAAAACTTAATTAATTACATTAAACTAAAAATTTAAAGTACAATTTCATGAAAAACTTAACACTAATTATTTCTTACAAATTGTAAAGTTTTGTAGTTGTTTTAAATAAAAAAAATATTAAAATTTTCACATTTAAAATATAAATTTTAAATGTGAGAAACTAAACTTAACTAAAATATTTTGCTTAAAACAAAGAACATTACATAGAGCTACTTCTATTCAACAGTAGAACAAATGACTTCATTAAGAGTATACACAGCAAGAAAAATAATAAAAAGTTAGATAATTTATAAAATATAATGCAAGTTAAAGCATATTAATTTGCATTATAATATTTGCAAAAATTATGCAATAAAGGCAAAATGAAGCAACCCATAAAAATAATAATAATAAAGAATAGCAATCTTAAACAATTTAAAACAAAATATATACATTATAACCAAATAAATAAAGAAAATGAAATTTTCATAACAGAAGGCAAATGTCTGATAAAGTTTCATGTTCGCTTTATTTATGCACAGAGCTTTAATAAATGTATGATATTTGCATATAACAGTAAATCTTTCTTCTTTTGGAGGAATGCAGATATGTATGATTTTATCAAAATTTTACATATCTTACAAATCTTCCAAATAACCTCATTTGGAAAACCATGGAGATGCAGCTATGTATCTAATCTTATATTTTTGCTCCTTATGTATGCACCTGCAAGAATAGATGATGACACTATTAATAAGTGTATGGAAGGAAGCTAATTTTATTGTATATTGTGAATGCCAGTTTATATTGGTATATACAGCAGCAGGCTTGTGAAAAACTTACATTTTGTTAATCAGCATTTTTAAATCTAAAATAAAATTTTACAATTGTTTTATTATATTCTATATTTGTAAACTTTTATATACTTAATAGTATTAGGCATACACCACACTGATTAGAAAATAGCATCAGGACAATAAAACAGATGATATTAAAATGCTTCCAAATGCAAAATAACTTTAAACACAACTCTAGTACTTTGGTTAAGACAATTTAGCCTTTTTGAGGATAGAATGCAACAGAAAAAACATTATTTTCCCATTTCTCATCTTGACATTATTTTTTAATATAAACTGTTATTCAATTTTATAATATTCTGAACTGCAATTGAAGGTAGCCTAAAAGGCTGAAAACATTTTTATATATTATAAATATTTGTCTACCTATAGTAGTAGTGTGGATTTCTAGTTTTAAAATATGGTGCCAAGGGTGTTACCATTTAAATATAAATATTCCTTGAAATCTATTGCAGAATAATAGTGCTTTAAAAAGTTCTGATGTGCTAAGATTTAAAAGAAAAAAAGGTTCTTTTTTTTAATCTTAGAATCATTTTTTTAATCATAAAAATGATATTTTACTTTTTTGTTAGTTTTAAAAATTAATTATAAATATTTACATGAGGTAACATTTGAAAGTGAAGTTAATGTTAATTAATGCTAAAACAAGTTTTTAAGGAGTCCAACAGAACATTCTTCATTACTCCTTCTTGTTTTGACATTAATGAACTTTAATATATGGCATGGAGTTGACTATGAAGGCTAACATTCAAATTATAAGCTTTAAATGTAATATATTTTATATCAAATAATAGCAAATAGGATGCTTACAGTTAATGTGTACATCACAACTGTATAATTCTTTCCAGCATTTTGCTGCAATCTTTTTCGTATAGCTTTAACTGCATCTTTAGGTCTGAAATATTAAATAAGAAAATATTTAATTTAATTTTAAAAATTTGATGTATCAATATAAGTTTTTAAATTTTATCAGAAGATAATTATTATGTTTAATAAAATAAATAAAATAATTTTAAATGCAATTAAATGTTGACTGCCATTTTACCTATAAGTAGACAATATCAAAAATTCTTAGAAAGCTATAATCAATTAAGTATTAAATATTAAAAAGTTATTGCAATAATTACATATCCTTCCATTCATTGAGTGAAAATGAATTTAAATTTAGACATTCGTTATAATTTTAAATCAACTATTTCGCAACATCAAATTTTAATGAAGATTTTCAAACATGTTTTGTTAAAAAAAATTTTTTTTTAAATATTTGAAATATTAAAGTCCCAAATAAGATATTTTATTACAGTACTTTTGTATAATTTACTTGCACATTATCTGTGTTTGAAAGACACTTTCAAAGGGGATATGGTTATATTATGAAGTGAATTATAAGGAAAAGCTGTTGAGTTTGTAATTACAGTTTAAAATGCTACATGAGAATTTTAAACTGTAATTACAAACTCAACAACTTATGCTTTGACTAAAGCCACTAAATGTGTCTTTAGAAAATTTTAAAAAAACCATTTTGTGCTGCAGAATACTCATCTGCCATCATAACTTTTCTCCAACTGCCAAACACATGTTTACATGTCTTGTCTATAGTTCTCTCCTATTTATTTTCTGTATGTTCAATCTGCACAAGTAGAAGTATCCTATTTGAATTTGCATCTTAATAACTGATAAATTTTTGATAATTATTACCTAGCTATATAATGGCATCATTTCAGAGGATTTAACAGTTAAAACATTTAATACATTAATTGAGTTTATGTTTTATTAGGACAACACTGCCTTTTTTCATCACTATAAAATAAATTTTGGTGACTAAAAATAATTACAGTAGAGCATCAATTATCCAAAACTATTTGGAACGGGGTTGTTCAGATAATTGCGTTTTTGGATAACTGATTATGTACGAAAAAATATATTAACCTATCCCATGTTGAAATTCATTCAAATTCTGGCATGTCCTTAAGTACCCTCTCATGGTCGTACTAGTGCTGCCAGCTAAAACACACACACACCAAGAAAAATAATATTGGAGTAGCCAAAGACAGCCAAATATTGCAGTGCCACAGCACAAGCAGAAATTTAAATTTGCCAATTGGAACGCTTTCAGTTAACTGATGTTTTAGTTTATCAATATTCGAATAATCAATGCTCTACTGTATATACATACAAAATAATAATCCTAGCTTAAAATTTAAAAGGAACATGCTCAGCAAAATAATAATTAATAACCAAACACCTTTATCGTTGTCGAGAAAATTTAATTAAAACAAACATTTTCGACCTATTCCATAGGCCATCGTCAGGTTTAAAACTGACAATTGGAAGATTTCATTCCACAAGATTGAAAACAAATATTCAAATTTCAAAAAACTGACAACGGATTAAAAAGATAATATACTAGTAATGTATTAAAAATATAATAAAAACAAAGAATAAAATAAAAATAAACTCAGAAATACTACTAAATATAAGTATTTACTAATACAATAAAATTAAAGCATAAATTATGAGTTTCCAGCAGATTTTTTAACAATATACTTCCAGGCCAATGGAAGACCTTCCGCGTCCCTCGCATTAATACAAGCCTCCTTTAATTTGCTCTTATAAATCTCTATTTTCTCAGTAGTCTTTGCTAATGTTAAGGATCTCACTGGCTTGATAATGTCTGCATATCCCATTTAACTACCGAACTTTGTGTCTGAGCCATCTGGGATAGTACTGTCGTGTTCGAACTTTTCTTGATGTTATACTTGTGCTCCTTTAGTCTTACACTCAAATTCCTTGTTGTAATGCCGATATAATCTTTCTTAATCCCCAGCTGCGGGCTTTCTTATGGTATCCTATATACACCTGCTTTTTCTTCCTTCCTAATGTATCCTTGTCATTTCTTAAAATTTTATATAGGTTCGGGGCTCTTTTTAGAATTTTTGTTGATCCTTTGCAGTCTGCAATTTCTTTCATAATACCTTTGGCATATTTGTTATAAGTGAATTTTGTGATTTTACCGGGACTTTGTATTGAGCCCGTTTTTATGCTCTTCTCGCATCTTCTAACAATTCCTGTTATTGTGCCTTTATTGTATCCTAAAGCTTCAGCAACTTGTTGAATTCTGTCAATTTCCTTTGCTCTATCCATAATGTTGTCACAATATAGAAAGGCCCTTCTGATTAGAGCCTGGAATGCTCTAATCAGAAGGGCCATCATAACTGAAGATAGACTCGTAGCATATCAGGTTAGCCATTTCCACTACTTTGCTGTTGTAATGTAACAATTCAGGGACCTTGTTGAACAACAATTCGAGTAATGCTTCCTTGCATGATAAGATTTTAATGGAAGGATACAAGCCCTCATAATCTAATACTGTTTCTACTTCCTCTTCCATTAATGATATGCTCTGTATTTCTTTAACCACAGTCCCAGGATCTTGTGCCACTAGTGCATTGGTATCAAGTTGGGAAGGAGATAAATTTGTGTAATCTTTTTTCTAAGACAAAAGTCGGTCCCCTGCATTTTTCCACTATTGGCCGTACTTGTTTACCTTCTTTGTGTGTTTTAGCGAATGCAAACAATCTTGGAATACCAGGTCTTGGGTTCTGGCACTTCTTAAGAAAAGGTAAAACAGTAGAAAGCCTCGCTCGTTCCAGCTTTTCTGACCCTTCTATCAATGGTCTCAATAATTTTAACGTTTACCTTTTCACATTCTGTTTTTTTTATGTAATCTATCACCTTTCTGTACATTTCTCTTTTCATGATCACCAATTGCTTACTTTTGTCCGCTCTTGTTATCAGTAAATCGTTTACGTTCAGCCATTGCTTAGTAATCTGAATGTCGTTATTCTTAACCCCTCTTGCCTTCCAATGTTCTTGGTTATCAATGGCCATTTTCCATCTAAAATAATCTTTTTCTAATAAATCAAGTCCAACTATCCCTCTCTCAATCTCTTGAATTGAGGTTTCCCAACTTCCTGGATTTTCCAGGACGAAGTTCAGGCCTTTTTCTAGAACTTCCTTAACCTTCGCTGGTACCTGTATTTGGTCCTACATAACAAAAGCTGTAAGGTTCTTCTTACTCTTTCTTGTTGTTTGCTTACTGATAATCCATTTCATTTTCTTAATATACTTTACTGTTAAATTCATACGAAGCCTGTCTGTTAGTCCAAGCACTCCTTTGTTAATGTCCTTTAACTTTTCTGGATCATCATTATATAAACTATTCTCAAAGTCAATAAGCTCATGCAAGAGCTTTTGTTTTTCGCTATTCTGATAGACTTTCAAAGGCATGCGATACAAAACCTCACTTTCAGCAAAAGGCATTCTTTTGGGACACTAATTATATAAATAGACATGGGAAAAACCTTGTTTTTCAAACATTACCTTAAAAACTCCAACTTATAACTAGCCTTGACCAGCTTAATCGTTAACTTCCTGTACTTCCTGTAATGTTCGACCAGTGCCCCATATTAAAATTTAAAAGGAACATGCTCAGCAAAATAATAATTAATAACCAAACACTTTTATCGGTTGTTAAATGGGACGATGCAGACATTATCAAGCCAGTGAGATCCCCAACATTAGTGAAGACTGCTGAGAAAATAGAGATTTATAAGAGCAAATTAAAGGAGGCTTGTATTAATGCGAGGGATGCAAAAGGTNCGAGACACACACACAACAACAACAGATCCGTCACTTGAAACTTTCGGGAGAAGAAGCCGTAGCGTCCTTGAATTTCCGGGGTTTTATCCGTTTTCTCTCGGATTCCCCTTTCCAATTGGTCTCTCCTCGTCACCTGATGACAATTCGAAACCTTTCGGGGGTGCGGGAGAGGTCAAAATCGAAGTTTAATTCGATCTCCAACCGGAAATGGTCGACGGACTTACATTATTCTATTGTTTAAAAGTTAGCATCGCGTAAAATAAAAATCTATTTCTAACTACTATATTATTTTCTTTAAAACAATTATTTTAACACAAATTTTAGTGAGGGTTCGGACTTGTCCAAAGCCTCACATTAATATTATGTTTCTTTTTCTAGTTACTTGTTTACAGATGGAATTAAGGCTAACTGTGATACTGATGCTGAAATCCATGAGGATCTGAATAGGAATTTTAGTGTATTACTTCATGAATCTTCCTCTATATATCAAGCAGAAGTGTTCATTGCTGTTTGAAGTATTTTCACTGTTTTTAATAGGTTCCCTTTATTAGGACTACCTATATTATTTCTGACAGATTGTTTGATGACAATTGATTTTTGCCAGTTTATATAAGCTCTTTGTTTACATAAGCTGTTTGCAACTCTTTGGACTACTTGCCTGCAATAAAGTTTTCCTTATACAATGCCAGAGTATGAAAGTATTCATGGCAACTTACACATTGATTTGTTGACCAAGCAAATGCTTTTGACTTTTTTGTTAGACCTAACTTCTAGATATTTTGTTTAATATTTTTTTCTGCTTGTTAAAGACTGGACATTTTCATCTCATCCATAGAAAAATTTCTGATTTGAAATACAGTAAGATTAATTTACCTTAGTTATCTTGTTTGTAAGTTAAAGTACAGTAGAACCTCGACTATCCGGACTAATTGGGGATGAAGGTAGTCCGGATAAGGAAAAATTCGGATAATCGAAACAAATACTTTAATTTGTCTTTTAATGATAATACAACACATTTTCTTTTCGATGACATATCGGTAATATTAAAAATAAATACTGTAAATTTACAAAAAGAATTTTAAAGTATCGTCACCAGGGGCCAGCTTTCCTCATCTGCATTTTACCAGCGCTTATTCCGTTGTAGATAAAAGCCAAACCCCAAGAAGGTATGATGGAAAACCAAAGATGTCTGAATATCACCAGTTCCTGTTTTTAAAAATGTATATTTTTAAT